TCCATGACCCTATATGTGCATCATATTGGCATCAGTTTCACCACATCATCATACCTACTCTTGGACCAACTCTCACACCATTTCAGCCATTTCACACTTTACTAGAGAGCTCAGGAACACCTAGGACTTGATTCTGCCAGGTCACTTTGCACACAGGGACATGAGCGTCTCATACAGCTTTTGGCTCTCATCTTCTTTCTTCACACTCTCTTGTTTTGTATTTACTTGGAGGCTGCCAGCCTTTGTGTACACTCTCAATGATTACTTTGCATACACTCACTGACTTCAGCACTAAGTTACAGACTGCCAGCCTCTGTGTAGTTCCAATTACTTTCTTAGCACATAGGGTCTTTAGTGTTCAGGTGCAGGCATGCATCGCTTTGCAGTGCAGAGGGCTGGAAGGGTTAATGATTTCAGAGAATGAAGTAGGTGAGAGCCATTGAGTGTACATGAAGTTAGATTGATATGAGGTAGCAGATGGTAGAGTCATAGAGTCATAGACGTACAGCACGGAAGCAGACCCTTCGGTCCAACTTGGCCATGCTGTCCAGATATCCTAAGTAAATCTAATCCACTTCCCAGCATTTGGCCCATATGCCCATCCCGAGGTTTTTTAAATGTTGTAATTGTACCAGCCTCCACCACCTCCCTGGCAGCCCAATCCATACATGCACCACCATCTGTTTGAAAAAGTAGCCCTTTAGATCCCTTTAAATCTTTCCCCTCTCACCTTAAATCTATGCCCTCTAGTTTTGGACTCACCCCACCCTGGGGGAAAAGACCTTGTCTATTTACCTTATCCATGCCCCTCATGATTTTTATAAACCTCTATAAGGTAACCCGTCAGCCTCTGACTCTCCAGGGAAAATAGCCCCAGTCTGTTTAGCCTCTCCCTCTAGCTCAAATCCTCTAACGCTGGCAACATCTTTGTAGATTTTTTCTGAACCCTTTCAAGTTTGACAGTGTCCTTTCTATAGCAGGGAGACCAGAATTGCATGCAGTATTCCAATAGTGGCTTAACAGTCCTGTACAGACACAACATGACTTCCCAACTCCTGTACTCAAAGCACTGACCAATACAGGCAAGCATGACAAACACCACCTTCACTATCCTGTCTACCTGGGACTCCACGTACAAGGAACTATAGTCCTGCATTTCAAGGTCTCTTTGTTCAGCAACACTCCCCAGGACCTTACCATTAATTATACAAGTCCTGCCCTGACTTGCCTTTCCAAAATGCAGCACCTCACATTTATCTAAATTAAACTCCATCTGCCACTCCTTGGCACATTGGCCCATCTGATCAAGATGCCGTTGTACTGAGGTAATTGTCTTCACTGGCCACTTCACCTGCAATTTTGGTGTCTTCTGCAAACTTGCTAACCATACCTCCTACGTTCACATCCAAATCATTTATGTAAAAAAAACAAAAAACAGTTGACCCAACCCTTGTGGCACACCGCTGATCACAGGCCTCCAGTCTGAAAAGCAACCCCATACCACCACCCTCTGCCTCTACCTTCAAGCCAGTTCTGTATCCAAATGGCTAGTTCTCCCTATATTCCATGTGATCTAACCTTGCTAGACAGTCTACCATGAGGAACGTTGTCAAATGCCTTACTGAAGTCCATACAGATTACGTCCACTGCTTAGCCCTCGTCCATCCTCTTCGTTACTCCTTCAAAAAACTCAATCAAGTTAGTGAGACGCGATTTCCCACACACAAAGCCATGTTGACTATCCCTAATCAGTCATTGTCTTTTCAAATACATGTAAATCCTGTCCCTCAGAATTCCCTCCAACAACTTGCCCACCACCAATGTCAGGCTTGCGAGTCTATAGTTTGATTGATATGACCAGGCTTTTCCTTAGCATCTTTCTTAAATAGTGGCACCACATTAGCCAATCTTCTGGCACCTCACCCGTGTCCATCAATGATACAAATATCTCAGCAGGGGGGCCAACAATCACTTCCCTACCTTCCCACAGAGTTCTCGGGTACACCTGATCAGGTCCCGAGGATTTATTCACATTAATGTGTTTTAAGCCATAGATGGTAAATGGTAGCACTTATCTTTGCAAGATGGAGAAGATCTTTGACCTCCTTCCTGAACTGTTAGGTGACCCACTTCACCCAGGGCACAGCACTGACCCAGGCTGTAATTTGTGTCCAAGCTGGCATGGCCTAGTGGTGTGGCCTCCTGTGGCAATCTGCAGTGAGAGAAGGACTGCCTTCATCCTCCTCCACCACAAAACTGGGAGCTGGCATTCTTTACCAGTGGGCCATGCCCAGAAAGTAAAGAGTACCAGGATGGGAGAGACTGTTCGAGCTCTGCCACATCTGAAGTGGTGTGTTTCTGGACTTTCAATATAGTGCCAGCGGCTCGAACGTCAGAAGGTCCCGACAGTGGCAGCACCTCCACCCCTCTCACTGCACAAACAAGGAACAGGAGGAGAGCATTCAGCCCCATGGCACTGCTACTATCCTTGAAGAAATCGTGGCAGGTCTGATTGTAACATCAGATCTGCACTCCTATCTATCCCAATAACCTTTCAACCCCTTGCTTGAAAAGAATCTATCTACCTCTGCCTTAAATGTATTCAAGGAGTCTGCTTCAGAGAATCCCAAAGACTCTTCACCATCTGAGGGAAGGCTGTTTGCCTCATCTCTTTAAATGGGCAGAAGAGTGAAGCAAGAACAATCCCTGAGGAAGGTGTCTAAAAGACTATGTTACATAATTAATGAGGCAGAGAGCTCTCGCTCCAAGCCATGGCAGACAGTGCACTGTGAATCTCATGCAAACACTTCAACTGCAAAGGGGCAAATTTGTCTTTAATACTTTGATTTAGGCAAATACAGATTAAAACAGTTCTACAGATATTTTCCTAAACTAATGGATTGAGAATTTAATCTTCCCAGTAAGAAGGTATGCGGGAAAAATAGGGAAGTAGGATGGAGAGTGGCAGTTGGGAAGGCGATGGCGTAGTGGTATTATCGCTGAACTGTTAATCCAAAGGCCCAGATAATGTTCGAGGGACCCAGACTCAAATCCTGCCATGGTGGATTTTAAAGTTAATAAAGGAAAACCTGAATAAAGAATCTAATGATGACCATGAATCCATTGTCAATTGTTGGAAAAATCTGTCTGGTTCACTAATGTCCTTTAGGGAAGGAAACTGCCATCCTTAGCTGGTCTGGCCTACATGTGACTCCAGACCCACAGCAATGTGGTTGACTCTTAACTGCCCTCTGGGCAATTAGGGATGGACAATAAATGTTGGCCTAGCCAGTGACACCCCTCATCCTGTGAATGAATTTTTTAAAAGTATATCAAATAAACAGTTATAGTGCTGGAGAAGGATGATGTGATTCAAACATTTAGGAAAATAAGGGTCTTTGGGAGAATTAGTACACTGTTGGTATGCGCTGACTGTGACCAAATAGTGGGAAGGAAATGAAGTAACAAATTTGCAGCTAAGCTCCATAGAAATGCAATAACTATTTTTGCCTTGATATTGATAATGGGGAGCTTCAAATTTCCCACTAAAAACTGGATAATCAATGTTTTCAAAAACAAACAGGAAAAGGAATACCTGAATTGTTGAAATCTTGGATCAGTCTGTTTTCAGCCAAACAACAAGAATGTTGGGATCGAGTTTTGGGAATTGAGAGGAACATATTTTAGTAGGAAAACATATGAGGAGCAGCCTCCTTTAATCTCTAGCAATCAGTGCACTCAGACTTGTTAACAGACAGAGTTCAGAACAAGAACTAAAGGACAGAAAGTGGAGAGTATGGTGAACGGTTGCTCTTCAAACTGGAAGAGTGTTTACACTGTTGGTCCACAGGAACTAGCGTTAGGGCAGCTGTTCTTTTTGCTACATCTTATATTAATGACATGGGCCTCGGAAATGTAGTAAATGATTCAATGTAAAATAAACAATGAGCTGGAAAGGGACAAATCTGAGGATGTCAAAGACTGGTGAAATGAGCAAACAGCTTGGTGGATGAAATTTACTGCAGAGGAATATGAAGTACATTTTGGTATGAAGGATGAGAGCAGGCAATTTACATTAAATTGTACAATTTTAAAGTGGGTGCACAGACAGATACACTTGTGGGTGTATGTACACAAATCTTTGTGGCAGGAAAAGTTGACAAAGCTGTTGAGAAGCATATGAGATCTTTGGCTGTATTAGTACAGGAATACAATACAAAAATAAGGAAGTTATGCTTAAATGTTTACAAGACATTGGTTAGGCTTCACCTGCAGTATTGTATTTTATCCATAACACACTTTAGGAAAGATGTCAAACTGGATAGAGACAGTGTAGAGAGAGTTTTAATAGAGCAATACCATAAGCGTTAGAAAATGGGATAAGGCTCAATAGCTCTTTCTCAGCCAACCCAGAGACTACACGATGAAATGATGGCCTCCTCCTTTGAATTTCAATGATTTTCCGCCCGCTGTATGTGGAGATCTTGGAATTGTCCTCCATTGAGAAGTTAAAGGTTTTGGTTAAGGTGTTTAACAATCCTGAGCAATTTTGCTGGTGTATATCAGGTTAATTGTTTCCAGTAGCAGAAAGGTGAGTAACCAGAGGACATAGATTTATGGTGAAAGACAGAAAACCAGAGCTAACATGGGGATTTTTTTTAAACAGTTGTGATCTGTAGTGCACTGCTCAGAAGGTGATGAAAGCAGAATCAACAGTAACTTTACAGTTGGCACTGGATAAATACTTAAAAGGTTAAGAACTAAAGTCCTATAGGGAAACAGCAGAAGTGTGGCATTAATTTGGATAGCTCTAACACAAAATGAGCATGAGCAAAATAGGCCAAATGGCCTCCTGTGTTGTATGATTCGATTAAAGAGACGCTGGTGATTATTGCCCTCATGCCTGAAACAATGTGCAGTCTTTGTTATGATTACTGTTCCTGTAAGTTCACACAAAGTAACATGTTTTTTGACTATATTTTTATTATGTTGTATAATAGGTCAGTGCATGATTATCTCAGTGGACAGCCATTTAATGAATACCAGGAAAGCATGTATTTTGATCGCTTTCTCCAGTGGAAGTGGCTGGAAAGGTAAGGCTCATGGAAGCAAAGACATGTGTCTTTACATTGCATTTTCATTAAATCAAGCATGGGAAAGCTAGTGAATATTCAAAAGATTTGAAGATCTGGGATTACAGACTGGTGCCATGTTTGTAAAAGGTTTATTTTATTTGGCAATAATGAAGCTTGTTATTGAGACCTTATGGAGTTAGATTTACAAGTAGGGAAACATGAAGGCCATCAAATTGATCCATTTATGTTCAATAAATGTGTGTAGTATCTCATTGTTGATGCTTACTTTTTCCCAAAAATTTTATGCTGTTTATGGATATGGATAAGAGGCAAACTACTTGCAGTTCACAGCTACTGTTGCCCCACAGCTAAGGATGGTGTAAATGTCCCAAGGAAGTTTTCTCTTTTCAGATTTTCTCCCTCCAAGGTGAAGTACATGGCCGTCATTTCTACATAACTGAGCCTTTTCCAGTTCACTCTATTATTTGTGATCTGCTGGATACCTTGCATTTTGTTTGGTGCCTCCTTATTGACGTATAATGAATTATTTAGTAGTGCTGTGACTGTGCTATTAAGCAAACTGAGGATTGTCATTAATGCAGTGGAACAATGATTGGAACCAGAGCTAAAACTTGTAAAAATCATAATTCAACATTGAACCAGATGGAAAGTGTTTGCTTTGACAGTGTGTATATTAAAGCCTGGTGAGCTAAAGAGCTATATCCTGGTACTTAAAGAGGAAATGCGATCTACTAAATTGTCATATAAAATGTTAAAGGCAACTACCTGTGGACTTAGAGAATCAAACTTTAACTCTGTTTTTTGTTTAAAACTGCTGCTAAGAGGCAGACGTTTTGTTTAGAATTTTCTCTTGGTGTGATGAGATTTGTTCTGTTTCAGTTATGTTATGAATGAAACTGATGGAGTGCGAGCAACATTGGTCCAGACTTCAGTCTGGAAAGTAGTTCTATACTGGCAGTTGGGGAGAGGTTCTGTGCTGTTGGAGTTGATGTGATGGAATGGATATTTTTGCTGTTGTAAGGTTAGGAAAGCTCAAAGAATGGGTTTCTTGAATGTTATAGAATCCCTTCAGTGTGGAAGTAGGCCATTCAGTCCATTGAGTCAACACTAACCCTCTGAAGACCATCCCAAACAGACCCAACCCCCTACCCTGCCCCTGTAACCCTGTATTTCAATAGCTAATCCACCTACCCTGTACATCCCTGGACATTGGACAATCTAGCATGACCAGTCCATCTAATCTGCATTGTGGGAGGAATCCAAAGCACCCAGAGGAAACCCATGCAGAGAAATCTGTAAATTCTGCACAGATGGTCACCCGAGGGTGGATTCAAACCCAGATCGGCGCTGTGAGGCAGCAGTGCTGCCCTCTGAGCCACCGTGCTGCCCTTGCAGAATGTAGCTGCCGCAGGGCCCCAGTGGGATATTTGAATCACAGGCCAGAGGACTTGCAACTACACTATTTTAAAAAAAACTATGGAAATACTTCAATCTTTCAGGTAATACTATCAGCCACGAGGCATATTTCTTATTAACAGTTGGATGGCTGAAAAAAAATTACCTGTGGGTGAACATACTCTGTAAAGCATTACTTAAATTAATCCTAGTGAAAAACAAATGAGGCCCAAAGAGGAACTTGTTGAAGTGTTTAAGAAATGACAGGTGGAGCATTTCTAGTATCTTTGAGGCAAAGAGAAGGGAAATTTTAGAACTTATTTGCTACTAAATTGTTTCTCCACTCGTTTATCCAAAAGGAAAGATATGCATTTTTTTTTGCTCATGTTGTATTTTTCTTTCAGACAAGCTGTAACAAAAAACACATTTCGGCAATATCGAGTGCTGGGAAAAGGTGGTTTTGGTGAGGTAAGTTATCTTGGAAGCTGTTTTCTGCTCTGATCTTTTTTTCTTCCTTGAACTCCGATTAAGTGCAAGAACCATGCTTTATTTGAAATTACACTTACATTTTTAAATGATTTCCAAAATGTTTTAACAAATATTTTAGCGACCTGTGACAAAATTCTGAAAATGTGCAAGTTCATAATCCACGCAACCTGCTCAATTATTGAACCTGGTTTAGTGGTTTAGAGGTTAAATGTCTCTGAAGACCTTAACATTTCTACTGTTCTAAATACATGGAAAATGTATAGAACTAATTATTCTGTCTGTTTCAAATGTAGGTCTGTGCTTGTCAAGTGCGAGCCACAGGAAAAATGTATGCTTGTAAGAAGTTAGAGAAAAAGCGAATAAAAAAACGAAAAGGAGAGGCAATGGCTTTAAATGAAAAGCAGATTTTAGAAAAAGTGAACAGTAGATTTGTAGTAAGTATTTGAGTATCATTACCATGTGATTTGTTGACCAGTGTGTACAGCCCACCTTGAATGATATTCAGAATCCAAGCCAATTTGTGTGTTTGAATGTTGAACATTATGTTGTATATTATGTCCTCATTTTATGCCTCATACAACACATTTAGAAAGGTATAATTTTGTCCACCACTCTGTTTTGAGATGGTGCTAAGCATGTTTAATCTTCAACAGTAGTACTAAGTAAACAATGCAGTCTTGTAGAAACCATACTGTTTACTATCTTAATCTTTTGCTGAATTTTAACTTAATTGACTCATCATCCTTGGGTTTCTTTCTTCAAAATTGTGAATATATGGGGAACTGTCCACATCTTTTCATGCATTGAGAAGCTAATGGGTGTAGTTTGTATTTAGTTAGATTCCTGTTAATCTGGTTAATCTTTTCTCATTTGCTACTGACTTCCTACTGAATGTCTATTTGCAATGAATCATCTATACCGCTAGGCACACAAACGTAAATGTATGGTATTTATAAACCATTTGGTCAGCTCAGTACGATGTGATTACAAAAAAAAATGCTGAATTCCAAAATAAAGGCTGAAAATAGTGCACATACAGGGCAATTTGATGAGCAACTGAAGGGAAAGTCTAGGTTGGCTTTGTAGGTAAAAGTTTCCATCAGATTGATAAAAAAAATTAATTCCTAACAAATAACTACTATAGTGGGGAAATAATGTTTAGAGAAATTTGCATTGCAGTAATTTCAACCAGTGCTAAATTTGAGAATATTTTCTGATATTTCAGCTGATGTATTTCAGAAACAATAAAAGCAGCGTTTCTGTGGTGCCTGCTTCATTGAATAAACTAATTTCTCTTGTGACTGAGGAAAGAGCAAGACCCTCGATTAATCAGTTGACTGGTCACAGTTGCTTCATTGTTTGACAATATCCTACATGCTTTTCTTAGTTCAGGTTCCAATGTATTTCTGTATCTGAGTACTGCTTTAAGAAAACAGAATGGAAACTTTGTACAATTTCTTTTCATGGAAAACGTTTTGAGCATATTTTTCCACATTCAAGCCTGTGGTAGTGTTGACATTCCAATAAAAAGCATAATTTTTAAATATAACATCTGTATGTTATTTAAGACTTGAGTTCTGTTTATAGTGTGCAAGATTTACATTCTGCAAACACGACCTAGAGCTACTTACGTCATTCTACACTTTAAGTAGATGCTAGCTAATATAAGACTGGTATCACAACTGTGACCCTTGTTTTTACTCAGTTCACATTCACCCGGGGAGCAGTAGGATAGCTAAGATGGTCTTCAACTGAGGGTTACAGTCGAACAATTGCCTAAGGTTCCCACTCCTGTTTGCAGCACTGCATAGCTTTACGTGGAAATACTGGGCTGGAAATAATAACTATGATGATGCCCAATATCTCAACCAGAAGACCAGTGGCAACCCCTTCCCGTCCCGGGAAATTTTCTTCAAACCCCAACAGGATTAAGTCCTAATCAGTCAGTGACCTCCCTACTGTCAAGGTTCCTGGATCTTTGGGGGGAATATCCTGTCTCCAAGCCGATCAGATGGCTGGAAGCTTTTCAGTCCCAACAGCACCACAATGAGAGGAGGCCACTACTGGGACTGAAGGAGGCCCAAGACCAGGGGCAGCGCAGGCAACTTAACGTTAACTGAAGTGGATGGGTTTGTTGGGGCCACTCAGACCCTGAGAACTACTAGAGGGAAAATGAGTAAAGTTCCTGCTCCTTGTTATCAAAGAGTGATGGGAAACTTTTACTAACGATGGCCCTCGCAAGTGTGAGGCCCTCCATGGGCCACAGAAGAGCCTGATCAGGAAGGCCCTACACAAGCCTCAGAAGCCTTTGCCAGGGGATACCTACCTAGCTGCCTGCCCATGTATCATGACCTGACTCCTCCCACCACTGATAGAATGCCAACTTTGTGTCACATTGTGACTTCCAAATAGACCTTAGTTGGCTGCCTCAGTTGGCCTAGGTGCAGGAATGTTAATCTTCTGAAGTTAAACACGGATGACAGGAAGACAATGGGGCTCTCCATCCTGCACCTTCCCATTGGTTAAATAGCCATCGTCCTTGATTCCCGGGGTCTCAGGAAATGTCACCTACTGCAGATAAAAATTGGGTCAAACTCAACAATGGCCACCTCCATGGTTGAACAGTTACAGGTAGTGCTGCTATAACATGTGTTTTGTTAATGCGAATTGCCTGTAATGCGATTGATAAATTGTGGACGGTGTTTGGATGATGCGGACTTCTTTCTCCACAGGTTTCCTTATAACGCGATTTTCTGTGGCGCGAGGTCATATAAGAACGCAACTATTGCATTATAGGAAAACTACTGTACCAGCGAAGTTCGTAGACAAGTGTCCGTTTGAGTGAGGATCTAGAGAGAGATGAGAAATAACTTCTGTCTAAATGTTGTGAATCTGATGAATTCACTATCCCAGACTGCAGTCAATGCCAGTGCATTTTGTTAAGTTAAGGAAGAGTGAGACAGATTTATTTTTTTATAGAATCCCTACAGTGTGGAAACAGGCCATTCAGCCCAACAAGTCCACACCGCCCCTCTGAAGAGCATCCCACCCAGACCCATTCCCCTAATTTCCCATACCTAACCCACCTAACCTAAACATCCCCAGGCACCATGGGCAATTTGGCATCGCCAGTCCACCTACCCTGCACATCGTTGGACTGTGGGAGGAAACCGGAGTACCCGGAGGAAACCCACGCAGACACGGGGAGAATGTGCAAACTCCACACAGACAGTCGCCCAAGGGTGGAATCGAACCTGACCTTTTAATTGGTAACAGGTTGACTGGTTATGGTGAGTGGGTAGAAAAGTGAATGTGAGGTTGAGATGAGATCAGCCACGATCGTATTGAATGGCAGAGCAGGTTTGAGGGACTGAATTGCCTACTCCTGTTCCAAGTCCTTATGTTTTTATAAAGAGCAACAGATGCTGTGGAGCCATACGCCCAGACCTACAAGGTTCTGATGCTTTCAGAGCATAGAAGACAATCTGTGATTGAAGAGGCGAATATATAATAAATTTAGCAAGTTGGTCTAGATTTTCTTAATTAATGCAATATGTAGTTTCAGAGCACTTGTTAATTTACTTTTTGTATAATTTAGGAGCCTGGAGTTGCTGCTTAATTCAGGTGTCTGTCGCTTTTGTACCGTTGCTCCCAAAATGGTTGTGGCCACTGGAGAATGTCCACAAATATCTGAGATACACGGGGAGAGTAAAACAAAATAACAAAATCAAATTTTGAATTAAATACTGCATGTGATCTGATCAGAGATGGCACACGAACATAATCATTGTATATCTGGCCTGGAAATTTCCTCAAAGAGTATGTAGTTGGTGTCATGGTATCCCCCTGAATGGTGGGATACTGATTACACGTCAGCCTGTGTTTCCTTGCAGTGGCCATGAAGGTGAGGGGGTTGCCTTGTAGAGAGGGTGGAGTCATCCACATGAGCTTTTACTATGGAGAAGTTTATTCTTTTAAGTTTGATAAACAAAAAGAGAGTGACAATATAAGTAAGTCAGCTGCAGACACAGGATACATCTGCAGCAAAATCAAATGCTTTCAGGAGGAAAGGAAATTTTAGATTATCAAACATGAGAAAAAAAAGCTCCCTTGTGAATTAGAAGTGTTCTACTCACCTTGCCTTCTGGCTAGGACTGGGGGAAATCCTATCCCTTAACTTAAAATTGACATGCTTTTATGAATATTAATAGCTGGAATTCAGATTATGCCATAAACCACTTAAGCTGTACTGTCTTTTTATGATGCCATCTGCACTCATGTAATTAGATTTTGCTTTGTAACTACTCGTGGGTATTGTTTAAATATCTATTTTTCTGTTTACTGTGTTTATAGGTTAATTTAGCTTATGCTTATGAAACAAAGGACGCATTGTGCTTAGTTCTGACTTTAATGAATGGGGGTGACTTGAAGTTCCACATCTATAACATGGGAAACCCAGGATTTGAAGAAGAGCGAGCTGTATTTTACGCAGCTGAGATCTGCTGTGGACTGGGGGATCTCCATAAGGAAAACATTGTTTACAGGTGAGAGGAGCTCCACAAGTTCCACATCCCTACTCAGGAGCCTGATGCCCAATTCTAAGCTTCAGTGAGATACCTGTTTAAGGAAATAATTCTGCCTCTCTTTTTTTCAAAAAGAATTGTTCTGCTGTATTAGAATGTGTTGTTTATGTAACTCAATGTCAGGTGGAGATTATGAACTCTCAATAGCAAAATCTATTGATTAAATTAATGCCTAATTGTTCACCAATTATTGGAGTCTAAAACTGGAAGTTGCTTTAAATATACAGGTGATACTTAAGCATCTGAAAATACAAGACTGGAAACCCATAAAATTTCCACGGCCCAACTCTGAGCAACATCCAAATTACTCACACAATGCATCCTCAAATGTAATCACTGTAACTGGACTGTAATGAAGCTTGGTGCCCAAGTTGGTGACTGTGATTGTTACCAGGGGGCAGGAACTGCTGCAAAGTGAACGCAGCAAAGGCAGGTGGTAGCTGTGGATGAGACCTGCTACTCACTGCGTTGCTGAAGGGAGGCAAAACAGCATGGGGCCAGCAACCACAACGTGTACACAAGTGAACAAATGGATCAAGATTCCCCCAGTCTCAATTTTTTTCAGCGTGTAAAAGCGCTTTAATTTCTGCCCATATTGAGCCCAGCTGCCGAGCACCAGACTGCACAAGTTTGATGGTTTACAACGTGTAAATCATCATCTTGCCCTCCCTTACGTGTTCCTTACAAGGAACTTTTACAGATCTTCAATTGGATGTAGGTGAGTCTTGATCCCTTGTCCTCCTCACATGGGAAATTCCAGCCCCTCCTAGAGGTGTCAGAATACTGACATATCATTTGAGAGTGGTATTTTCAGAACGTGTTCACTCTCATTTCAATCCCTTGACACCTGAATGAGACGTCTGTTGAAGTTGCCCACTTCAAGTGTTAACCTTTTATGAGGAGTTTGTCAATAAAACGTTGACCCGCTTCCTGAATGTTTCTAAGACGCATCAAGAGCTTCTGTGGTTTTGCAGCAGTCGTTGGTGAATCTCCCCGAGGCAGTAAATGACTGGATTATTTAATTCCTTGCTGTTGCTGAGATTCATTCTGATTGCACCTCTCAGTTCAGGAATACGAGTGAAGAGAATCAGTGACCTGAAAATGAATAGTGTTCATTGACCCTGCCAACATCACTCAAACTATCAGTCTGAATAAGCAGAACACTAGATTTAAATGAAGCAGTTTGTTTTTAAAGAACTCTGTTACAACTAAGTCCAAGAAAACCTATCTTCTTGACATGTCATTACAAGTCACTTACACAAGCAGATATATTGTTGTTATTGTACAGCACCTCACTAGATTGCAATTGGATAAAGATAAAACAAATTTTTCGTCATCTCACACTTGCTCTATTATGCACAGATTGCTAACTTTAGTCTATCAAGACTTAGAAGTCTATATGTTTGAAGGGATATATACTACATACTTGCAAATTTAACCTTCAATTGTTATCCAGCTGATCACAGCAATTCTTTGAAATAAAACCCTCTGAATGTTTTCTCTTCTCTTCATTGCAGCCTTTTAGGGAACATGGTGTCTAATGAACCCACTTATAGTGGGCTGATGCATATTGTCAATATCTATCTGATTGTAATGATGAGGATTCCCTCTTGATTGGTTGATTCATTGTTACATGTACCGGAATACAGTAAAAAGTTTTGTTTAAGTGCAGTACAGGTAGATCGTAGTAGGCTAAACAGATCAAACGTTGTAAGAAACTTAGACAGAGGCACACAGGTTACATTGCACAGGGTGTGTGCGAGGCAGTTTCAAGTTGTGATCTCCATTCTCAGCAATAACAGCAAACAGCCAGAGCCAGTGGCACAGGTCACCATAACACAAACGATCAATTATAAAGCCACATACCAGTCCATCCCAACCAAAAGTAAATTGCATGAGTTAAACATCCGTGTGGTATTGACCTTTCAAACCCCAGCACCTGAAATTCCCAACCCGCACCCAGCCATTCACAGAAATAGTATAGTAGAGTTAACTAAAGCTATGCAGGTATGAGAAGCTCATCCATATCAGGGTGTCATTATTAATTAACGTATGCTTTATCCACACATGTTTTTAAATAGCTTTGTAATATGGCCCACTGTGATACCGAAACATGTGGAAACCAAAATAACAGCTGAAGAGGGCACTTAGTAGAGCGGATACTTCTGTCACACACCGTTAACTCAATGTTATTATAATTAGGCAGCTCTTCCTTGAGGCTTGTCCTTGTCTGCTTGATGCTTTGTTTCTACAAAGCTGAAAAAGGAAATCTTTTTTATTAAGAGCTTCTATCTCGCTCAGGAGACTTCAGACCAATTCACTTGCTCTGAAGATATTGCCAAGTTCCAGCGGAGATGATGCACAACATTCCACCTAAAACAACTTGCAGCGTTATAACAACAAAGTTATTTTGCCCCATCTCCCAATGTGAACGGATATGTTTTTTTAAAACAAATGTCAAGAATCCAGTTCCACCAAACTAATCAGTTCTTCTTTGGGCTGCACCCTATCTATCTAACAAGTTCCATTGAAATCTGTCCATTTTGTTTTGCAATTTATTCTTTCCTGACAAACATGCTAACAGGCTGGTGAAAACATTAGCGTTCCTTCAGTGGTGGAGGTAACAAATCTAACACAACTTATTCTTACAGGTGGTTTTGGTAAAGTTAGGATAAATTGATACTGTAGCTCCTGACCTAAGACTCATCGCTACAGTGCCTGTTCCAACCTGGCAGTACCTTTAAGCTAAGAGATAACAAGGTGTAGAGCTGGATCAACACAGCAGGCCAAGCAGCATCATAGGAGCAGGAAGGCTGACGTTTCGGCCATTTTCTGATAAAGGGTCTAGGCCCAAAACATCAGCCTTCCTGCTCCTCTGATGCTGCTTGGCCTGCTGTGTTCATCCAGCTCTACACCTTGATATCTCAGATTTTCCAGCATCTGCAGTTCCTACTACCTCCAGTACCTTTAAGCTGTCTGGCTCCAATTGAAATTCCTATTGCTAAGAGAGTACTTGGTTATCTTTGCTTTTTCGCGTGCACAGTGCTCTGCTTGGTACTACTGAATTTAAATACATTGAGAGCACAGATGGGCAAGTTTGCACGCACTACACATTTAATCTGGGGACCCGCTGAACCTGTTTGACATCAGACTGGTGTTATAAGTGTCAAATCCTATAAGTGCACTCTCCATGGGTCTCATTAGTCCCATCCAGAATAGACTGTTAGTTCTGTTCCATTGCAGAGCAGGAGCTCCCCTCCAGCAGTCCTGATCTTGGAGTGTAAATACATGCTTGATTTCACAATAGTTTCAACTCTAGGTCTGAAACACTGAATGGTAAGCTGCAGTTTCTTTGTTTAATCTAAAATGTAGATAACTCAAAACTCAACCATTGAATCTCTAGGTCACCAAGCAATTTGAAAGTTGTACCCCACCTTACTAAATAATAGGAGCCAATTAATTGGGCAAGTACTTTAATGTACATGGTATAGGCTGTACCACAGTACATAGTGAACAAGTGGAACTGCCAAAGGGCATAGAGGAGACTCAGGTACTTTTCCATAGGGAAGTAAGAAAGAATTTTGAAAGTAAGCTTTCACACTTGTCCACCTGTCCAATCTGATAGTGACAGAACAGCATTGACAAAATAACTGGGAGTGGGTTATAAGGGAACCTTCTTAAATAAAGATTGATATACACAGTATAATATGAGGAAGTCTTGAGAAAAGTTACTGCAAAAACTCTGATAATGGAAAAATAATCTAGTGCAAAGCACCACTTCTAAAACCTTATTCAAAAAGAACTTAAAAAACCATATCTTTCCAGTCAGAGCAGAGATTTTGGATATTTCCATCATTTAAAAAAAAATCCAGTTGAATAAATTGGTATTTTCTTTTAGTTAAGTTGTATCTCAGCTCATTCATATGAAGCTTCTCCTCTTTCAAAGCTCAAATACAATACATTCAGCAATCTCAGACAAGTTGCACTTCAGAATAGATTAATCTCCTTCATGCAATCTTTAGCGAGTGTAATGTGCAAGCCTCTACTTTCTTTGGGTTCCCTACGTCTCACCAGTGTGATATTGTTTTGGAGGGCAGAAAGCACAAAACAAAATTCTTTTATGAAAACAATACTTTGCCAGGGCTGGAAATATTTATTTCAGCAGTATTTTAAACTGATCGCTGAAATACTGACTGCATTAGCACTGTCACCTGGGACATGTAGCTTTGAAGTCATTCCCAACAGGCATGCATGAATGAACTCCTTTATCAGAGCGGTATGTGTTAGGAGCACGTGGAAAATCTCCAGCAGAAACTTTCCATGCACATTCACTCAGTGTCATGCAACATGAAACTTCGACATGTTGTGCCTTTTCAGCAGTGATCGTGAACTCTCTAATGCTACTTGACATATTTTTTCTAAAACTATATTAGATAGGGATTAAAAACAGCCCAGTGCCCAGAACACAGCCCAGTGCCCAGAAAGGCATGAAAGAATAGTATATCAAACAGATATCCATTTATTGCAGCCTGTTCCAGAACTAGTACATTGTCTAGTGATGGGATTTGTAAAAAAATCTGTGCATGGAAATGGCAAGTACTTGCTGAATTATGAAGGAAGTGAAATGTACCAGTGGGTGATCAGACACATATTTTTGCTCTCAGATAAGAACAGGCTGATGACGCATGGTCAACATGATGACTTAGATTGATACAGAGAATAGGCTGATCAAACAAAGCAGAAATATCTCTTAGCTCTTAACACCTTCACCCTTGGAGTCAACATCACCCATTATCACTATGCAAGGCAGTGTGAAGATTATGTCATTTTTCTCATGAAAAAGTGCACAAACAAACAGATTGCTTTGTGTACTTGTGAAAATGTTTCTTCAAAAGGAATAGGTTGGTGTTGTTACAATCCCCATAACAATTGACAACTTTTTCAGAGTATTTTTCAAGTTTCTCAAATGACTAACAGAAATCAACCACTGGACAAGGTCTCAGTTTTTAGGATATTCCCTATAGCCAAACCAAATTAAAGTCAAAATGGATCAAACTTTACTTAACAGGCAAAAAAAAGACAAACGAGGTAAAAGGTAAGTTTAGCATTCACTAGCTAAACCTAAATAAGATGGTCTGAATTTTCGCTCCCTTGTTGGGAGCTCACAGTCAGGATGATTCTTGGGCCTGCAACCCAACCTGGAAAATGTGCTGTGGATGTTTGGATTTTTATCCTGGGGGTGGGTGAAAATAGAAGTTGTGATGGTTGATTCTGGGAAAAGTTCAGTGTGCAAGTGCCAGCTGGGCAAAAGGCTGACCTCAGTGCTCCAGCACTTTGTTGAAGATATGAATCAAACAGAAAGTGGCCCTCGCCCTTTGCACGCACCCATGGCCCTCCCATTGCCAACTCATGCCCCTCTGCCCCACGCCCCTCATACCTCCTGTGACAACTTGTGTCTATTTATCCACCTCTGTAGCTCTCAGCCCCTGCAGACTCATACTCTCACCCTGTATCGACCATGAACAGGGCAGTGAGATTAATTACATTTCTTAAGTATCTGTTGATGAATGCATTTTTAAAAAGGGAGCACTAATTTATTAAAAACTCATTTACTATAAATAATTTCCTTTAATTTCTTATTAAAGGTACGCATTTGACTTTAGAGTCTCAATTCAAAACAGCTTGGGGCTGTCAATCAGATTGTAAAATGACAGGTTTCCCACAGTATGATAATGGAAGGTGGCTAAATCACTCATCCTGTGCTAATGTTATGATGATAGCTGTCAGGCTTATGTCAACAATTTCAGTGAAATACCAAGCACTGTGTTTTTTTTTAAATACTGCAGGCAATTTTTTCAGATATTTAGATGGCAGGAGCTTTAGATGCCTTGACAGTCTCCTTTGATAGCTCTCTTTACATGTCAAACGAGCTTGACTATTCCAACGCATTATCCACTTTGCACGCATATGTATATCTACTTTTAACAATCCCAATGGTGCCTGACCTTTGCCAAAGGTCACCCAGGGCTGCATCCAGAAGGGTACCTTACATTTTCAAGAAAGTATCCAACAAAGGAAATCCAGTGAGGTTTTAGATCTTTTCTTCTAAAGTGCATAAGTTGTGTTTTGGCCATCTCAATAGTGAAAAATCAGATCTGACTGATGCAGCTGCAATTGCCAACTCAGACCACAGGTGTGCAAAATTGGAATACGCCCTCAATTGCCTCTCCCCCAGCAAAGATGGTGCCAACTTAGGGAGCGGGACTTCTTGAGTTCAGATCTCCGGTGCCGTTTTCTTTATGATATCAAGCTTCTCCATCTTCTCAAATTCAGGCTAATAGTTACAAAACACTTTGTGCAGTAATTTGGGCAAATGCTTTATAGGAGTATTCCCAAAGTCACACTGGGCTCTCAAATGGATTCTTTCTTCTCTTAGTCAAGTGAAAACTTTGTCCTTTGACAAGGGTTCCTCCCAGTGTTTAAGTTTTCCAGATCCAGCATGGCACACCTTGATCATTCCCTGTTCCCTTGGATCTATTCCCTTTTGAACGAAAACCAAACTGTCTCGACAAACTGTCTCAAGAGTCTATTTAGTCAGTAACACAAAACGGCTTCCCCTACTTTCCCACAGCAGTAACTTGTTTATTTTCTGTTTCAAACACCAGGTGTCGTTATTTTTTCTCTGAGATACTTTGAAAAGGAGATAAAACTGCCATCTCACACAAATCAATTTTTATTCGAGTTTCTCTTCCCATGGCATCAAATCACATGAGCATGTCTCTGTGCTGAGGTGTTGATCTCTCTCTGTTCTCTGTTTTACTTTATGTTAAAGGTACATTTTGAAACACATCAGGAGGGTGAAAAGTGGGCATGAGATGGCTTTGGCTGAGAAGATTAGGGTGAATGCAAAGAGATTCTTTAAGTATATTAAAGGAAAAAGAATAACTAGAGAGAGAATAGGACCCCTTGAGGACTAAAGTGGACATGGACATGGACACGTATGTGTCGAACTGCAGGAGATGGGCAAGCTCCTCAATTAATATTTCTCCTCTGTGTTTACCACAAAAAAGACTTAAAGATTTTGGAACTTGGGGAAGTTAGTGGCGATATTTTGGGGACAGTTCATATCACAGCAGAGGAGGTGTTGGAAGTATTAGAATGTATGAAAGTGGATAAATCTCCTGGACCTGATCAGATATATCCAAGAACCCTGCAAGAGGCTAGAAAAGAAATTGTGTGGGCCTTGGCTGGTATTTGCATCATCATTAGCAGGATGCGGTTCTGGAAGACTGGAGTATAGCGAATGTTGTGCCCTTATTCAAGAGGGGCTGCAAAGAAAAACCTGGCAATTATAGACCAGTAAGCATACCATCTGTGGTATGTAAGTTAGTTGAGAAGGTTCTGAGGGATAAGATATACATGCATTTGGAAACACAGGGTTTGATTAGGTGTAGTCGGCATGGCTTCATGCATGGGAGATCATGCCTCACAAATTTGTTAGAGTTCTTTAAAGTGACCAGGAAGCTTGATGAGGGCAGAGTGGTAGAGGAAGTCTACATGGATTTCAGTAAGGCCTTTGATAAGGTTCCACATAGTTGGCTGCTCTGGAAGGTTACATTACATGGAATCCAGGGAAAGCTGGCAAATTGGATACACAATTGACTTGATGGTAGGAAGCAGAGAGTAATAGTGGAAGGTTGCTTGTCGGACTGGAGGCCTGTGCACAGTGGTGTGCCTCAAGGGTCGGTGCTGTGCGTGTTGCTGTTTGTTATCTATATCAATGATTTGGATGAGAATGTACAAGGCATGATTAGTAAGTTTGTGGATGACACTAAAATAGGTGGTATTGTGGACAGTGAGAAGGTTATCAGAAATTGCAGCAAGATCTTGATCAGCCAGGGAAGTGGGCCGAGAAACTGCTCTAATCTCTATTAAACTCAATTTGCCATTTCTGTTTTGTTAAATGTGTACTGATACATTGAGCCAAGTTTAGCTGAAGCAAGGCATGTTTTGGTGAGCAACATTGTCTGCAACCATTAACACCAAGAATTACAGTAATACTTGCTGGAAGTGTGAACTGACTTCAGTCAACTAACAACCCTTGAACAAAAAGATTTAATAATTAACAAAGCAAGAAATAACAATGAAAGATGAATTAGTTAAATCGGGTAGGCAAAGAGAAATAAAGACGAAAATAAAGATTGGATTATGAGAACAGGAAGAAAAGTAAGATTTTAAAACTCTAACAACGTTGTATGACTGTAACTCAAGCTCAAATTTTTCCATTTCTGGGCCAGAGAGAGTGCATTACCATTTGTCACATCATCAAAAGGATGAGTTTAATGGATGTCAAGATGTGCAAATCCTTAAAAATAGTAGGGAGGTTGTGATACTTTCTGCAGAGCAAATGGTAGGCCCATATAAATTGAGCAGAAAATTCTGGAGAGCCACAATTCAGGTAAATCTGAAGGCATACAAATGGGCTGAATTATGGGAGAGGGCTGAATTATGGGAGAATCTAAATAGACAACTGAGCCCTAAACCAGTAAAAAAAAAATCATAATTTTGATGCCTTTAAGGAGAAATTGCACACATGCAGAAAGAAATAAAAGGAAATGCCAATGGAATGGATTGGGAAAAGGTTACTGTGGAATGTAAAGCTGGCATGGATCGCAGTGAATACTTTGTGATTCGAAAAAACGTTGCTTGATGTGTAACCTTCTCATATTTGTTTCATTTTTTCAGAGATTTGAAACCTGAAAACATATTATTAGATGATTATGGTAAGTAAACCAGTTCTGCGAATGGAATAATCATTGTGTAGTTCAGAGTCAATTTTATTATTACTTGGGCATAATTTTGTTTCCTCCTTAACTCAGCTATCAGTTGTGTGTAATAAAAGTATGTAGGCATATACATTATATATAAAAGCAAAGCCTTATAAAATGTCTGGCATATTCATGAGTTTATTACATTTTAATTATTAATATGTTGTGTGGCACCACGGATACAATTATATCATGCTTAGTCATTTACTTTAATTCTTAAACACCATCCATTTTACATGCAGTTCATCTCCAGAATTTTGCACATCTGTAGAATTTTGATTTTACAGAATTTATGCTATTATAGAAAGAAAGAAATTGCACATTAGAACATTTAATAAAGCATTTTTGATAAGCTAAATATGGTTATGCTAGTGGAAAGAACTGGGAGAGAATCCACCTATGAGTCTTGCTATCGACCCTGGCATTATATTCCTGTAGTTCGGAAGATGCTTCCAGCATAGTGTTACTCACTAAAAGAAAGGGGAAATTCCAGCCAAAAGCAGAAGTGCACGAGTAATTAGTCAGAAGGAATTAAATTATCCATTTGAAAGCTATACTGGTTGCATGTACACTTAGTATTAATAGATAGATGTCTGCTTTTTGATAAGCTAAGCATTGGAAGATCAAATCTTTTAGTTTCAGTAGATTATGTTGAGATACATAAAGCTTCTGTTTTGTTTGTAACTGTATATGTATTTGAAACCAAAATACTTCATCTCTGACCTATAGGTAGGTGCTTAGAATATCCAGTGTTCTTTATATAGCTTTCATGTTGTTGCTAAAACAAATACTAATGTTACACTAACAAAGCTATTCAGATGTCAGAAATATCAATCACAATAATATTGCATATCAAAGATTATAATTTTAATTTCAAAATTTACATTGACTTATTGAATACCCTGACTTCCCTTTCTTCCCACTTCTGTTTTAATTGTGTTTATTTTGTATCTATTTCTAATGTTTAACAAAATACTTTCGCCATCTCATTTTTGAACCTCTCTTCTTTCATTATCAACTTTGTAGAAAGGCATAACTTTCAACAATATAAGCTGATTGACTGGACCTCAACCTAAAGGGTTAGTTTTTTCAGTGACTGAAGTCTTAAAGCTGCCATGAATTAAACACCACTTTCCTAAAACTATGTATCTTCTTGTAAAGTTTTTTACTATTATTATTTCCTGTAATCGCTTTTACCTCAAATGGACACTATGCACCAAAAGTTTTTTTTTTAATGAGACTACAAGGTTGAACCTAATTGCTTATGGAAATAGTAGTCCATTGTATTTGTTAATGTAATGAGAGCGCTAATAAGAATCAAGTGGCTCCTAATATTCAAAATATGTTCATTAACGTCATACTAGCAAAAATGCAAATTAATCTGCACTAAGGAAATGTAAGCAGTTTTCCTAGTTTACTTCTGTTCAATTGAGAATGTTTCCAGTAAAAACATATTCATATTCCGCTTGGGAACCCTGCAGCCCAATGGTATCAATGTGGATTTCACAAGCTTCAAAATCTCCCCTCCCCCTACCGCATCCCAAAACCAGCCCAGCTCGTCCCTGCCTCCCTAACCTGTTCTTCCTCCCACCTATCCCCTCCTCCCACCTCAAGCTGCACCCCCATCTCCTACCTACTAACCTCATCCCGCCCCCTTGACCTGTCCGTCCTCCCTGGACTGACCTATCCCCTCCCTAACTCCCCATCTACACTCACCTTTACTGGCTCCATCCCCGCCTCTTCGACCTGTCTGTTTCCTCTCCACCTATCTTCTCCTCTATCCATCTTCTATCCGCCTCCCCCTCTCTCCCTATTTATTTCAGAACCTCCTTCCCCTCCCCCATTTCTGATGAAGGGTCTAGGCCCGAAACGTCAGCCTTCCTGCTTCTATGATGCTGCTTGGCCTGCTGTGTTCATCCAGCTCTGCACCTTGTTGTCTCGGATTCTCCAGCATCTGCAGTTCCTACTATCTCCTCTTAATCAAATAAATAACTAATTCATTGTTGTTGCATTCTTACAGGTCACATTAGGATATCTGATCTGGGTTTAGCTGTGAAAATTCCAGAAGGGGAGACAATCCGTGGCAGGGTGGGAACAGTAGGATATATGGGTGAGTTTTCAACCAAAATTAGGCACTAATTTTATAGTTTTGACTTGGAAATTACCAGTTTATTTTCTGTTTATGAACCTTGTAAGTTGCAGTTGTAATAGAACTTTACATGATGGCAACATGCAGACTGACTTATCTCACCAGCTTTTACAGAATGCATTTTTGTTTACAAATAAGATATAAATGGAGAGAGTCCACAGAATGCTGTAAATCTGGATATTCTCATACATGAATTACAAAACATTAGCATGCAAGTGTAACAAGTAAATAAGAAGGCAAATTGAATATTTTATTTTATAGCAAGGGAATTGAAAGGAAATTAAGTTTTACTACACATTCTACAGAATATCGATGAAATCGCTCCTAGAGTATTGTATAAAATTTTGGTGGTTTCATTTAAAGAAAAATATATTTGTATTGGAGGCATTTGAAGGAAGGTTGATTCCTGGGTAATGTCTTATGAGGAACAGTTGATCAGGTTGGGCATCTACTTATTGGAATTTGGAAGAATAAGAAGTGACCTAATTGCAACATAAGATTCTGAATGTGTTGACCCAGTAAGATGCTGGGGGAAGAATCTAGAGCTAGTACATGGTTTCAAAATAAGTGTTTTCTACATAATGCTGACATGAAGGAAAATTTATTCTCTCATGGATTCATTACTATCTGGAGTTATCTATCCTATAAAGCACTGGAGGCTGAGCCGCTGAATTTATTCAAGACTGACTTAGACTTTTTATCCATGTGAGGGCTGAAAGTTGTGGGGTAAAGCAGTGAGGAGTCGCAATCAGAACTCCGTGATTGTATTGAATGGCAGAGCTGACTTGAGGACCAAATGGTCAACTCCTGCTCTTGTTTCTTATGTTCTTGCAGAATATTCATTGACACAACTAAATGGATTTTGGACTTAATCTTGATCAAGCAATAGCTACTGTTGAATAAGTTTTGAAAATCCTTTCCATATGACAAATTAACTGTTCATGTGGCTGTTTTGTTTATATATTATCTTGGATGAGAAATTATAAACTGGTGTTTTCATGGGTTGATGAAAAATTATTTTCACACAGGCAGGCCACTTTTTTTTTCCCTGTGAGTTTTAATTCAAATCTGTCTCCACCTTGGTACATTGTAAATACTATCATCAAAGACAAATGCCACATTTGAACACAGTGATGTGAAATTTTCCATTGTATTCCATTTCATTACAAAACTTTAAAGAAAAAGTATTTTTAGTTTGAAATGTTATTTCCTTATATGTGAAAAATCGATTGGAGTATACTCTCATACGTATCTCATATTGTGATTAATACAGTGTAAAAGCCTGATTCTGTGTACAGTCATATTGAGTATAAGTCATGCATCACTCTGTTGATGCAGTCTGATTCATTGAGAGAATAAAACATCTGATGCATGTGAATGAACCGTAAGTGTTAACTACAGCCAAACACCTTGACAGCTGTCCTAGTGCCACTTTTATTGAATTTAGTTTCAGGACATATGTATACTGGTTGCTAAACAAGCAATCATTAATCAGTCTCTTAAAACATTCATCTTTGTTTCATCTGAATTGCTTAATTTTCTCTATAACAATGAGAATAATACTGTTACTGTGAATCCATATGCATGGTGTTGTTTAAAATATTCATTAAAATATACCTTTTAAAATATGCATTAAAACCTTATTGTGGTATCACAGGGAAGTCCATGCAATTTGTGTAATTTTGTACATGAGCCTGTGTTGTAGCAGTTAGCAGGTTAGCTAATTTCACTGCAAGCTATCCGTTAAAACTAGTGGTGAAAGCCATTTTTAGAATTATTTTCATATTTTTGGAATGAAAATTATTCAGTCAGTTTGCAGAAAGGTGCAATTGCAGTCCACCCAGCAGAGTTGCTGTGTCAGTGAAGGCAATGTTGGAAACTGAGCAGCATGCACCTTCAAGCCTGACATAATTTATTGACTGAAACATGCCCGTAAAAACAATTTGACATTTTACAATTTATTTTGAGGAACATTAATCAAAATTATTTCCTCTTCCCTAACCTCTTGATCACAAACCGTACAGTTTGAAGACTTACAGTTCTTGTTTGCATTGAAGCCTGAACAAAGTAAAAACAAACTATCCATTCTTCAGTGGAACATTGGCCAGAGTGGTGTCTAGTGCGGAATATATGGCACTCTAATCATAATCTGTGAGGAAAGCCAATCTATTTACCTGGCAGTCTGTTGCAGACTCTTCATTAACATCTGCCTTTTCCTTGTTATGGTATTGTAGGATCCAATTTTGAATCTGAATTTATCTCAATTGTTATTCCTAATCCTGATGGATGTCTAACCAGCATTTGTAGCACAATATTTGAAATACACATGAACGTAAGTTTGAAATACCATTTTTAAAAAGAGGCTGATTTACTAAGTTCTTCCTTGTTCCAATTATGCAAATTAGAATTCCAAATATTTGGCATCGATATAAAAATATTAAACTCTCCGTTGGCTATGTATTCTCTTCAGTGTCACGGGTGACAGTGAATGATTAGAAAATATAAAATGTTATACTGTTACTGGCCATGTGGCAAAGGAAGAAATATGGAATAGGTTTATTTAGAATGAAGCCTTAGAAGCACAGGACATATATACTTGTATGTCAATAAGTGTCCTGTTGTATGTGCTCAAACAACTGTCTGGCTGGTTCACCTGTATGTAATACAGGTACAATTGATCCAAATAACACAAAATACTGTGCATGTGGAAATCTGAAATATAAACAGAAAATGATGACAATACTCAGCAGGGTCAGACTGCAGCCACAGCAATAAAAATCAGTTTCATTACATGAGCAATTTCTTCATGTATTCGTTTAATGGCCCAAAAGTTTTAAATAAACTTGGTTAAAGTAAAAGAAAGCAAAAGGGCAATATGATATCTGTTTAAAAGCCTAAATATATTAGAGATTTTTGGTCATAATTACTGGCCATTAGGCTGCTATTCATAAGAATCACAACTATTTATTTGTCCAATTTATTTTTATAAGAAGAACTTTCACTGGCTTGAGTTTAGCCTTTAATTTTGGCATTTCTCACTTTTTAGCTCCAGAAGTATTAAATAATCAGCGATATACATTGAGCCCTGATATCTGGGGTCTGGGATGCTTAATCTATGAAATGATTGCTGGTCAGTCTCCATTTAGAGGACGAAAGGAGAAGGTGAAAAGGGAGGAAGTAGACAGACGAGTGTTGGAAACAGAAGAAAATTACACAGACAAGTTCTCTGAAGAGGCAAAATCTATCTGCAAGATGGTAAGCTCTGGAAGTGATATTTAACATGGACACCTTAAGTATAACCAGCATCTAATCAAGGACTCTTGGCTATCCCATGTACATACTTATACTGTAAATTAATTTCTCTTTTATGTTTTATAATTAGGAAATTACAGTTAGTAATACTATTGATTATCCCAAAATATCAAGTAACATGGGGCACTAAATTTTCATGGTTCTGTACAGAGTCAGGTACCTCTCCACCATATTTCTCCCACTATCTCTTGCTGAGTGGCATCCCCCTTTTTCTTTCAAAAGAAACCACTCTCATCTCCTGCCTCACCCGTCCACTTGGCTTGGGCTGCCGTTTTGCTAAGGTAAAGAGTATTGCTATTGAAAAAGACTCCTGGCTCTGAATATCACTTTTCCATGTGATCTTCTCCTTCACTTGCCTTCCCCTTTGTCCTATGTTCAGTTGTGTTTTTTTTTGCTTTCTGCTTGATAGTCACTTTTCTATTTTTTTGTGTTCACTTCCCCTCCCCCAGCCATCTTATTGTGCCCTTGTTTCTCTTTGGATCATTCCTTTGTCATAGTATGCATTATTTCAAAGGGTATCTGCAGAGGCAGCATAAGACAGCACAGAAAGATTTGGAGGGTGTAGTCCCACCTATCTGATGCCTACACCCACTTGGCATCCTACTACCCCACTTAGCTGCCATCCCCTACCCCCTTACGCACTTAGCTTCTATCAGTGATTCCCATAGTGCCTCTAGGAACTTCAAGCTATCGAATACAGCAGATACTGCTGCAGAAAAGGGGCTATAATTTCAGCACTGATCCACATTGTTCCTGCTTCCGTAGTTTGCAGGACCGGACTATCTGGGCTGGGAAGGCTCCTGGCCCAAAGTTTTCTTGCTGCCTCAGGAAAGCAACCAACATAATCAAAGACCCTCCCACCCCAGTTATACTGTCTCCCACCCTCTTCTGTCAGGCAGAAGATATAAAAGTTTGAATATGTGTACAAACAGATTAGAGAATAACTTTCCCCACTTTTATCAGACTTTTGAACAGACTATTCAAATGTTAATATTGATCTCTGTCTCACTGCACCTTCTCTGCAGCTGTGACACTGTATTCTGCACTCTGTTCTGCTACCTGATACATTTTGTACGGTATGATCTGCCAGAAGAGCACACAAAACACTTTATCTTGCTACATGTGACAAAATCAAATTTAATCAAATCAAGTGTGCAACTTTTTGTCTTCCCTGGGTCAACAAGTGAGGTTCCAATCCAGCTCGGAAGACTTGACACGTTAATTTTAGGAATTTAGACTGTCTTGGTTGGAAGTTTCATGATGTGGAGGTGCCAGTGTTGGACTGGCGTAGACAAAGTCAGAAATCACACGACACCAGGTTATAGTCCAACAGGTTTATTTGACATCACAAGCTTTTGACGCACAGGCCCCTTCGTCAGGTAAAGTCACTTTCATGGACACTGCATCTTACAAAATAGCTTTTTGTTGGAATGATATTGAAGAGAAAATTGAAAACTAAGAAAAATATTGTGTTAATAAAATTGATCAATAACAGTCTTAAGTAAAAACGGTACGACGTAAACAGCGAAATTTCCAGAACTGTTATGTAGAAAATGTAAGAAAATAAGAAGTAGGAGCAGCAGTATACTATTCAATCTGTTCTGCCGTGCAGTAAGATCTTGGCTGATCTTATTTTAGATACACCTTGCTGCCTGATCCCCAATTCCCTCTGTTCTCCTACAGATCAAAACTCGATATCAACCTTGAATATCTTCAATGAAGAAGTATTCATAATTAACTGGCATTGAGAATTTCAAAGTCTTTTTAGCCTCTGAGTGAAGACTTCCATCCTTATTTCAGTCTTAAATGATCGGCTCTTAGTCCAGATACTATGCACTTTAGTTTTAGACCTCACATCCAGAGTAAAGCTGTCGGCATTCACCCTGTCAAACACCTTCAGAATCTTTTATGCTTCAATGAAATCTCCTCTCTTTCTTCTATATGCCATATTATACAGGTCAGTTTGACTCAACTGCTCATCAAAAGACAACATTTTTGACCTATAGGCTATCAAGTTTTGAGATAGGAAGTCTTCTGCACCTTTTCATTGGGCCATATTCTATGTACTTTTCAATCTACGGGAGATCATTGATATCTGCAAAGAGAGGAGATGTGTTAATAACATAAGTGGATGCTTTGGCGAAATCTTTCTCATTGTACAATCTGCTTGATATTTCCAATGCTTTCTGTTTTTAATTTCCATTGCTGATCAAGTTCTTCGATTTTATTCGCAGACCATGGATTATTTGTTTACTTTTTAAGATAGTTTGCTTCTTTATGGGAAGACTGAGTGCTGTAGTTAGCAGTGCCGTGTTACCTGAGATACTCGGAAAGGGTATGAAATGAAAGGAAAATCTACAATATTTAGGATGGTCCTTTTTTAAATGTAATCTGCCTCCTGATTTTCTATTACATTTCAAAGATATTGCCAGTCTCCAGTGAATTTATTTTATGCAGGAACCGAACCTTGAAGATTTCCTTTTAACTGTGTACTTCTAGAAATGATCCAAGAAAACCGTTTTAAAATGAAGAATAACATTTAAATAAGCGGAGGGAGTTTTGTGCATTTGCATGTCACCTGGACCACCCATTTTACTAAGTAACATTGTTACAAGTGGAAATAAAAGTATGGTACATCATATATTTGTTCCCACTGTCATCTGGGAGTGTGGTTCAAATTGAACAAAAGAAATATTTCAGTTGAGACACTAGGATTAAAATGATGAAATCAAAATATGTCTGTCTTTCTTCTACCTTATGCCCTGTTATCACTTAGTGCAGCTGGCATATCTGACAAAGACAACAGTTAATGCAAAATCAAGAGGAATAACCATTTATAGGTATTAGTATGTAGAATGTAGTAGATTAATAAGAAAAATTTGCATATCAAAGCATTAATTATAAAATGGATACAGCATGATAAAAGGTCATTTGGCCTGTCCTGCCCCATGCTGACTTGCTGCAAGAGCAACTCAGTTAGTTCCATTCCCTCGCCCATTCCTGCAGCCCTGCACATCTTTTTTTTCTCTTCAGGTAATTATCCAATTACCTTTGAAAACCAGGATTGAAACTGCCTCTAGCACACCATAACTGGGAGGCGACAGCCTAGTGGTTTTAACGCTGGATTTTTAATCTAGAAACTCGGGTTACGTTCTAGGAACCTGGATTTGAATCCCACCATGGCAAATGGTGGAATTTGAATTCAATGAGAAAAGTGGAATTAAGAGTCTAATGAACATTGTCGATTGTTGGAAAAACCCATCTGGTTCACTCATGTCCTTTAGGGAAGGAAACTGCCATCCTTACCTGTAGCTTTTGTTATTTATCTTAAACTGATGCCTTCTGGTTCTCACTTCCTCTAAAGGGATCAGGATCTCCCTACCCATTCTGTCTGATTGTCTTGGTTGTGAATGCCTTTACTATATCTCCTCTAAATCTTTTGTTGTCTAAGGAGAACAATTCTGGCATCTCCAATCTGTCCTCGTAAGTGCAGTCTCTCACCACTGGAACTGGGCTTATGAATACTTTCTGCATTTTCTCTAAAGTGTGATGCTTAGATGGCACACAAAACATCAACTTAAGCTGAATCACTGTACTAAAAATGTTCATCTAATCTCTTTGCTTTTATACATTTTGCCTTCATTTATAGAGTTCCGAATCCCATATGCTTTATAAAGCACTTTCTCAACCTGCTGTACCATCTTCATTGATTTATGTACATGTACTCCTAGGTCTCTCTGCTACTTCTCTACCCCCAGCCCTCCCCCCCACCCGCTTTAGAATTCTACCCTTTACTGTTTCCCATTTACATTTCTCTGCATTAAATTAATGTACCATTTGTTTGCCATATTCCAGCAAGACTTCTGTGTCGCCCTGAAGTCTATCATTATCCTCCTCCAGTTCACAAGTACTCAAGTTTTGTGTCATGCACAATTTTTTCAGTTGTGCCCTGCACACCCAAGGAAAAGTCAGTAAACTCTCACTGAGAGCCCTAACAAATTACCTCACTAGGGTAATTGGACCTGGCTTTGTTCAGGTACAACAAATTTGTACAGGCCCCATGCCCTTCAGAACCAGTTTCAATATTGCAGAAACCTAATGACCTTTCAACCATGCCATTTTTCCAAATTTTTTTGGTCTGTACTCTTATTTCTGTACTCAACAGCAAGTGACACTGGGAATAGTCCAAAGTTTTCTCTTCCTTTAGGGTTCCACTGGCTAGTTTCCTTCCTAGATTTCTAAAATCTACCTGAAGGACCTCATCCCGCTTTGTCCCTGTATCTTTTGTGTTAATATGAACCATGACTCTGGACTATTCCCTCCCTCCTGAAAGCGCTCTTTAACTGCTCAGTGATATCCTCGACCCGAGGGACCAAGGGGGCAATATCCCATAAACAAAAACAGAAATTGCTGGGAAAGCTCAGCAGATCTGGCAGCATCTGTGGAGGAGTTCTGAGGAAGAGTCACTGGACCCGAACACTAACTCTGATTTCTCTCCATTGATACTGCCAGACCTGCTGAGTTCTTCCAGCAATTTCTGTTTTTGTTTCTGATTTCCAGTATCCGCACTCATTTCAGATTTTTTTTTTCGGCTATATACCATCCTGGATTTAGGTCTGCAGCCTCAGTAGGCATTACTGTTCCCCATATATATAATGCCTGATCTGTATTGCTTCCCTCATCTTCCTCCTGCCCCCACATGAGGTTGAGCTGCCTTGGTGTCATGGATTTAGCTCTGGCTACACTGGTAGGGAACATTGCTGTCAGTAGTATTCAGAACTGTTACCAATTGGAGAATGAGGTGCATTAAGGGCACTCCTACACTACCTGCCTGGCCTTCCCTGACTGCCTGGCAGTAGTACTTCTCCCCTCCCCACCTACGTACTGTTAAACTGTACAATGTTCCCATACAGAAACATCTATCCATGTAGCTCTGAGCCTCATGGATGCAGCTCAATGATACCAGAAGCCACTAAAGCTCCAAAACCCAGACCTCCAGCTGTTTGAGTGGGCAATCCTTGCTGCACATGTAATTGTCCACAATATGAGCAGTATTCTGGAATTCCCACATAACATGTGCATACTTTGAGACTACGATCCATGCAGTTCATCCAGTTAATTTAATAACTGTGCTAAACCAAAATAAAGACTTTGAAGAAACTTATGGAAGTAAAACTGTAAAATGTACAGGGCCTTAAATAAATTGTTACCTATGCCAACTGCACTTTGTCTTGTGTAGTCACTGTTATGTAGACCAAATAAAAGTGTGCAGTTTCACATTGATTAATGCCAAGTCTAAAAATGCGCCCTGATGCTCTTGTGCGCATGAGACTGTAAGTAACGGGTGCACACCTTCACATATGTCAATCTTCTTCTTCTGTTTGAAAAAAATTGTAGCTGAAGATCTACCAAAGCTGTTAACAATGTAAAATCCTTGAATGTTTTCTCAACAGTTGCTAACCAAAGACCCCAAGCAAAGATTGGGCTGTGCAGGAGGAGGTGCTTCCGATGTGAAGAAAAACCCATTCTTCAGGAATATCAATTTCAAACGATTAGAAGCAGGCATAATGGAGCCTCCATTTGTACCTGATGTGAGTAATGAGACAACGTTACAAGGAATAGTTGCAAATCCATTATTTACTGCTGTGATCAGAATGATTTATGAGGAGATATGTTCTTGACTAAAAATAAACAGAGTCACTTATTTCTTCCCGCAATATATTGTGGGTCTCAAATGATTAGGAAAGAAGAAAAATATTCTTTTTTAACATATCAATGATTTGTCTTTATTATCATTATGTTAAATACAAAAAGTGTACAAATTAAGATGACAACTGCGAAGAATGTTGCTGTCTATAATCTATTTTAACAAATGCAATATGCAAACATCCTTTTACAACTCAACATTGTATTTGTTTTAACCCTCCTCATGGATCTTGTTTTTGTAATACAGCCTCTCCAATTTTCCACCTGTACATGAGCTCAGCGCAGTGCCATTATCAGTAATACAAATGCATTCTCATAAAACCTCACATTCTTCTAACCAGGGACATTGTTTTAATTTCCACTGATGTAATGCTTCAATTGCTCATGTAATTTTTTATATGTGTTTTTTTAAATACCAAAAGGATCTATTAGAAATCATTTGCAGCTGCTTCAGGGAATTGTGCTATGGCCATTCTGAAGGGGAAGTGATTAAATATTTATATTAATACAACATTCATAATTTGTTGGCTTGGTTGCGCAGTACAATGAAACATTGTTCTTAAATCCTGCCTCCATCGCTAGAAGCCAGCCCAAAATCCTGTGGAGGAAGAAAATACATCAATTCAGACATCTATTAGTTTTTAACTGTTTGAACCAAGTATTCAGTAGACATGCATATTCACAACTGACTTTAATTGAATGAATAATTCTCACTTCAAATCTACCTGGTGGAATTCATTGGTGTGGTAGTGCTTGATTGAGACAATCTGACATTCTAGACTATAAGCACATGGCTGGGCTCCTGAGCTTTACCCCCAATCTGTGCCTTACTTTCCCTGAAAATTAATTGTTCATACTCAGCACTGAGAGCTGCAGCTTGATGAGTGCTTATCATTTGGAAAGAAGTAGGTGGTGACGTGGTGGGTGGAAGGGAGCACAGCAAAGAAAAATTCCATTGCGTCCCTGTTTGTGAGCATATTCTGGTTTGAAATTAATTCTGTATTTCGTAGCATGCAGCCATTCTTATCCCAGCTCCTTGCTCCTCTAACAGCCACGAGCGGTCTATTGCAAAGACGTGCTGGATATTGAACAGTTCTCCACTGTGAAAGGAGTAAACCTGGACCAGACAGATGATGATTTTTATTCAAAGTTTTCAACAGGCTGTGTTTCTATTCCCTGGCAGAATGAGGTGAGCAGAACACCATTCCCTGTTTGAGTTTGTTGAGGGGATGTTTGCTTCCCTCGTGCTTACTTGCTAGTTAACCTCACTAGAATTTATTTTGTCATTTTGGTTATCCATGAGAACAAGGGTATGAAAATATCTATCAAACATGTAATATTTTATTCAGACTAGTAATAAAACTATAAAGCCTACTGTATTACCTAAATGCTGCACCTCAAGAACGAGTATATAAATGGCTGGAAGGTGACAGAAGGTGACAGTGGTTGAAATTGGACCTCATTTAGACATTAAAAGTTAATTAAGAACAAGTGTAGCTGTGCATGAGCTCGCAATCTTAGGTTTGTTACATTCAGACCCAAACTCGGGTGTCCAGTGTTACTGGTGCAGTCCAGTGATGCACACCATGTATTGTATTCTAACGTCTCCATAATCCTTTTTTGCCATTTACTGATGTATCAGAAGTGAACCAGTATTCATAGACCTTCACCTCCGACACGTTTATATGTTAATAGTTGCTGTCTCCATGAACTAGCATTAATATTGCTGTCTAGCAGTGTTTTTCAGAAATACAACTACATGCAAATTCTTGATAAAATTGCTCAAATAAACCTGCTAACTCCTGACTTCCTTACCACATCACCCCGCCATGTCATTACCAACAAAGCCAGTCTCGGGTCTCTTGGTCAAATTAGCTTCTGTAGAAAACGATACTGTTAAAGCTTTCCACAGTCTGTGACGCTATTTCCTCTGATCTCACAGGCTTAGTGTATCCTCACAAAAGCACATAGTAAACATACTTCGATAAGGTATTAGTATTAATTTGGTATAAAATTGCACATTTCGGGGGCAAAACAGTCACCTTCCCATTCTACAGTCAAAATTTGAATCTAATGTAAACTAGTGATTGTGTGGCCTGTGACTGGAAAGAGATAAGATGATTTCAAACCATTTCTTAGTGGCATATACCCAGAGCACCTACAATTGACAGTAAATTACATATTTATTCAAATACTTCATCATATTCCTCCCCATGTTACATCAGATGTTGTCAGGTCATTTTCTTAAAGTTGTTCCGAAACACTATCACGGAAGGACTTTTACTGGAGTCCGTCAAAAGATGTCTATTTACTCATTTACACAGGCTCAAGTTGGTGTATAATTAGCACATTGTGAACTCATTTGGAGTTAGAAATGAGACACTGAAATACAGAGTTCTGCATTAATACATCGTCAATCCCAGAAAGGCCTATTGTCCTCACCAGGTAGAACTCCCTTTCCGTGCCCCATCTGCACAGACATTGATGCGCATGAGTGATCTTCTGTTTATCTGTAATCTCTTGGAGGCACTAAGTTCCATTATGGGTTAGCAGTCTTTCCCACACCGCTACTACTGTGTAGTAGCATGAGTCAAGTTGGCAACTGCAGCCAGCTTCATGACTAATCTGTAGCAAACAGAGGAGCAAGGTTAACTTTTGTAGTGCACTCGGTAATATTTCTCCATTTTGGTCACTGCAGATGATTGAAACAGAATGTTTTAAAGAATTAAATGTGTTTGGTCCAAATGGAAGCTTATCTCAAGACCTTGACAGGAGCTACACCCCTGAACCACCCAAAAAGAGTTTTCTTCAAAGGTTATTCCGGAGGCAGGTGAGATCTAACATTCTGAGGATGTTAAATTTTCTACTGCATAGAGATGTCCATCATACGTTCACCAGAAGGTTGTATTTTGCTTCTGTTTTAGTACGTATCACTGCTCTACCTTCTCCTTCAGTTCTAAAGAAGTCATGTTGGACTCTGTTAACTCTGTTTCTCTCTCCAGGCCTTTTGAGTTTTTCCAGCATTTCCTGGTTTTACTTGAATGATGTTCTTGGTGCTTTATGGTAACCAAGAATAATTAATATTTGTTAAGATCATTAACAATGATTTGACTGGCCTGTCTGAGCTACTAACCTTTGTCTACAAACCAGTGCCAGTTTTGCATTAGATTACATGACAGTACCTTGTTTCTGATTAAAGCAGAGTTTGAGATCATATTTTAACACAATATCTCTTAGTGCCATATTGTGCTCTTACTCTAGTAATGAATAAACCTGTATTGTTCTCCAATTAAAGCACACAGACAGGATATTAATGCTGCCTGCTTCTCATGGGAGAAAAAATGTTTCTTTTTGAGTGGTGTGTATTTTGTAACAGTGTAATCTTTCTGAAAAGTAATAGAGATAGTAGGAACTGCAGATGCTGGAAAATCTGAGATAACAAGGTGTAGAGCTGGATGAACACAGCAGACCAAGCAGCATCATAGGAGCAGGAAGGCTGACGTTTCGGGCCTAGACCCTTCATCAGAAA